CATTAACTGCAAATCCACCAGTGTAGAGCAGATTTAGCAGCATTACGACCTAACAAAGACATCTACAGATTCTCTGCGTCTCCGACTGAATTCATTTAAATTTCAGAATTAAAGCGACGCACAGTTTGCACGGCTGTAACCTTTTATGAAGGCTTCACAAAACAGAATAGCTACTTTCTTGTCACTCAGAACATAGACCAGTTTGCACACATCAGAATGAAATTTAGGTGCATTTACTCACCATGAGACTGTAAGGTATAAAGCATTTTAAAAAAGAAGGATATTTACATGTAAGAATAGAGGAAAAATATGTCTATATAAATATTCATAGTAAAAAAAAACCAAACTGAATAGGATCTTAAAAATATTGCTGCACAGCAATACAGCAGCCAAACAAAGCAGCGCACACTCACCATTCCAGACATACTGGACTGTCCTACATATACGGTCAATTTCAGAAGTTTGCCTCATGCATATATGGAGCAGGGGAGGGGTTACTGTGAGGGGTCATATCTGAAGGTGCATGGCAGACCGTCTTTGGTGGCTTTGTGGCCAGCATCTGTGACATTCAGTGGTCTTTTTTGTTTTGTTAATGCCACACAAAGCAAAACAAACAAAAACAACAACACTACACACTAACGGCTCACTACAAACACACTAAATGTCTCAAATCTCTCAACTTGCCGTTTTCTTTTTCAGCCCCATCACTCCCACAACTTCCTCAGCAAACAAATGCCATGTGTTACCATATAACTTCTTCAGGAAAGTCACGTTTTGTTTTGTTCTCATCTCAAGCACTTTCTGCGTGCAAGCGCCGACTATCTAAGAAAAAGCATAGCGTCAATTATTTATCACAGCTCTGGTTTTATCAACTCAAAGTCTGTTTTCCCCTTCAGAAACACAACACATAAACAGATTTCCCTGACATTTGTGACATACAGTTGTATATCGTGGGGCTGCAACTAAAGGACTATTTTGGTAGATGACTAATCTACCAATTTTTCTTTGATTAGTCAGTTGGTCAACGACTATTTTAATAACTTGGAAAAACCTCCTGTTATAGGCTCCAGTACTTCACCTGCTCAAGCCTGCCCACCTGTGAATATCACCCTGCTGTCTTGTCCCACAGCTAGGGCTGCCACAAATGATTATTTTGATAGTCGACTAGTCACCGATTATTTTTGTGATTAGTCGACTAATCAGATCATGTATCCATTGGACGTAAAACGTACAGCTTATTGCACCAGCAGCATCTGCTCTTATATAACTATCAGTAGCTTACAGCTTTAAGTGTTTAAGGTATGTGCTAACTAAAAATAAAGACAAGATAATTGTTTATTAAATTTTAATGAAATTTGCAGATTGTTTCGGTGAAGTTTAATAAACTCCTTGCTATCTAAAATATAAC